TATATTTTACAATGTAAAAAGTTTTTCTTTGTTAATACAAACTGGCAATGTTACCGATGGAACACTGCGAGTAGGTGAGACAAACCACTTGGTTTAATTAATTATTTCAGAGCTTACCTTAAAACGACGTTTCGTCAACGACGGAGCGTGGAATTCGTCCTTAAGAACCTGTTAAATTTGTAAAAATTTTGCAAGACCGAAGATATTTTGATGAGGTCTTCAGAAGGTGACTTATAACAAGAACGGTGTCGAGAGGGTACTCTTTTCTTAGTGATCTCACGACGTAGGAGTATTTGATTTTTTTCCTCTTAAATTTAGCTCGCGATAACTTAGAAGCAACGCTTCGAGCTGGGGATGGCGAGCGTTAAAAATTTCTCGCTGCCACCAAAGATGTTCACTCGACCGTGACAGGATGCAAATGACTCACTTTTTGTTTCACGACCATAATGATGTTTTTACCATTGCGTGACATTCTCTGGAAAACCAAAAGTTAATGACACATTGTGAACTTTCCCGAGAAAATGAGTCATAAATAGAGAATAATTCACGGGCGCGCGTAGATGCGAATTTGGTTGATGGAATACAATTCAAGCACGTGAAAAATTTCCAAATGTTCACGTAGTGCAATGATTGGGTACGTTCTCATGGACTTTGCACGTTGATTTTATGATACGTGATGGAACGTGAGTTGTTAGGCGTGTTCTTTGTGCGTCAAGGAGCCGTAAAAACACGTTTGACTTAAAAATAATACAAAAAATGAAATGCGAACCGTTCATGTCCCGATAAATCTCGACCTTAATCAACGAGGCTCTCGCGAAGGCCACATACCCCCACAGTTATCAAATGAGCCCAAGATTTCTGGTTAATGTTATTCTTTGTGCACAGCCCCCTGATCCATTACGCAATAATGATACAATATCTTTAGCAAGCGTTTTAGATTCGCATTACAATCGTATCGGTATTTTGTAGCTTATTTATTTACTTTTTATTCATTCATTCTTTCATTATGTATTCATTTACTGTCATTATTTTATTTTAGTATTGTTATTGTAATTATCTATTGTAAATAGCATTTTTATTGTAATTATCTATTGTAATATTAGTTTTCTTGGATTGTAAAGCGCCTTTGATCATTCCATAAATGTTAAACGGCGCTATATAAGTAAATAAATTATTATTATTATTATTATTATTATTATTATTATCCATGACATCATTTATAA